TCTTTTTCGGTGCACCTGTACAATTATATGGTCCTGTTTAATGTTTACATGACGGCCATTATTGTCATGTGGCAGTGAATCTAGAATCTAGATCGTTCAAGCGAATGCTTGGTGAGTTCTGCTTCTTATTATTGTTTCTTTTTGTCTGCTTGCTATTCCCTTGCCCAAAATGCCGTCCTGGTCCTTTTTATAACGGCGTCTGGTCATTTTTGAAATGACCATTTAAAAATGTCCCCTGTCCAGTCAGGTGACGTCACGCAAACCGCTCAACCCGAGTTGGCGAAGGCAAGACGGCGTAGAGTTCGCGACCTCAGTGCTTTCTTGGTGCATCTCCATTTAATAACTGTGAAAGCAGTTCACAACAAAGATTGAGATTAAGAAGAAGTCACATTTTCATTGTTAAAAAATGGAGATAGGACAAGAAAGCACTGAGGTAGTGAGTTGACAGAGAGACGCCCTTCCCAGTTTTTCAGCGCAATAAGAATGTAGTTTGGATTCCGATAAAGCCGACAACGCCGATCCGAGCTTAAAGCCGCCTGCAGTCTGCCAGCTCTCTGTGAGGCAAGTTGGAAATCATAAGGGAATTTTTATATCTATCGGCGCTCACTGAGTCAGTCTCCGAAGTCGGCGTTCTCTATGTTTTCGCCCTTACCTGCGGGCGAACGGTTTTTTTTTTATTGGCTGTTATGTCGCATTGGTGTTTGCCATGTCGTTCACAACGCGGCCTCGGTTTGATATCGTATGATGGTCAGGTTAGGTTTAACATTTTACCGTAAAAATTTCAGTCGTAAAGTTATATAATTCACCTTTATTTGAAATAGCAATATACTCGTACATCCTTTTTCGGGTGCAAAATTGTAGGACTGGTGTGTAGTGTGAGACAAGACAATGAACTTACCTGAATAAGAAGATTTTTTTTTTGTTGAAAATTGTTTACGGAGTCCATGGCAGTGGCTTCCGCAGAAAAAGGGAGGCTTCGGTTATGGATCCTTCTCTGATGGGTACTGTTTGTGGACAAGACGACGGCGCCTACAGCTGAGTCCGATCTGAAGCCATCTTCAAAGATTTGCTCGTGGGTAGTTAGCGGGTGCTCCTTTTTCCTATCAAACATCTGTCGTCCTTATCTCTCCTTTTTATGTTTGTTACTCTCTTGTTACACCTCTAATCTTCGGCACTTATATGACCTTAATGTGTTGCAAGTGCCGTAAAACACTTACCAAATCAAAGATTTGCTCAACGTCGAGTTATTTTTTGTGTGAAAGTAGAATGCTTTGTACGCGGCTCCGATTTTTAACTTGTGCCATAAATATTATTATGATCTGACTTTTTAAAAAAAGTTGGCGTGAAAAACACGTCATGCACTTACGATTAGGGTGGCAATGAATTAGGTGTCTCTTTGTCCAAGCGAATGCTTGGTGAGTTCTGCTTCTTATTATTGTTTCTTTTTGTCTGCTTGCTATTCCCTTGCCCAAAATGCCGTCCTGGTCCTTTTTATAACGGCGTCTGGCCGTTGTTTTGTTGTCCCGTTCGTAAAAACTACTCCACTGCTCGCAGAAAAGGAAAAATAAAGTGAAATATAAAAAATTTGTTGTCCTCTTCTGGAGTTTTTTTTCTGGTACACACACACGCACGCACGGATTCTAACACCCCCCCCCCCCCCCCTTGCAAACATGATCATATATAGACAAACCAAAAGAAACACAAAAAAACAAAAGATCACATATTTACAAATTCCAACCCCCGGCCGGATGTTAAAAACCCCCCCCCCCCCCGCCACCCCCCGACACACACACACACACAAACACACACACACACAATCACACAAACACACACACACACACACAAAATCACACACACAATCACACACACACACACACACACACACACACACACACACACACACACACACACACACACGATAGCAGCTCGTGAACACCACCATGCAAGAGGGTGTCAAAAGGAAAACACGCCGTTCGCCAACTTAATATGTAACGGGTGGGCAGCAAGCGTTTTGTTGCATCCAGTGTACTGATACCACGCTGTATCTCTGTACCCCACGACTTGGTACCTAACTCCTAAACAGTACTCCAAACAAACGTTGTGTGTGGGTGATTGAGGGGTGCTTTGAGTTTGATGCTTGATCTGTCTTGTTCATTTAAAAAAACCAACTATTACTATTGACCCAGGCGACCATAATATACAGGTACAACACAACTGGATTGTTGTTGGGTTTGTTGTTTTTTGTTTGTTAGTTGTTGTTGTTGTTGTTGTTGTTGTTGTTGTTGTTGTTGTTGTTGTTGTTGTTGTTGTTGTTGTTGTTGTTGTTGTTGGGGGTTTGCTTTTGGTTTTTTTGGGGGAGTGAGGGTGGAGTTCTTTACGTAGACGTTTAATATTTTATTCACCTCCGCCAGGTACCTGGTTCACAACACCTATGCCCACCTGCAAGGGACACCCCCGCGCATGGAGGATCCGGCGGCCGGCGGCGCTGGCGTCAGCGGCATCGGTGGCGACGAGTTTCGGTCGCACAACCACGCGGAGCGCATGATGCGCAAGTTGGAGCTGTACGCCGCCAAGCGCCAACTGTGCGATGTGATATTGGTGGCGGAGGAGAGAAGGATTCCCGCGCACCGCCTTGTGCTGAGCGCCGCTTCCGACTATTTCGCTGCCATGTTCACCAGCAATGTGCGCGAGGCCAATATGGACGAGATCCCCCTTAAGGACGTAGACGCCGAGGCGCTTGCGTCGCTCGTGCAGTACGCCTACACAGGTAGGGGCGTTAATTTAATAGCGGTCTTAACCTGTTTTTTATGTCCCCGTCAACACAAATAGATCTTTAACATAACAAACAATAAAGCTGATAAAGGATGTCTTTATTAACAAAAAAGAAATATGACCACCGGTCAGAAAGGTAAATAAGTGAACTGCGATCGATTGTAAATGTTTTACCCCTACTCCCTCCCCCACCCACCACCCTTTTACTCCAAATTGGCACAATTTACATCACTAGGGGGTGGGCTCCTTCGACTCTGTCTTTCAGGGACAGCTCGGGCTGAGAATTGTGTGTGTGTGTGTGTGTGTGTGTTTATCTTATATCCCCCTATGTAGCGACTGATGTGTTCTGTAGGAAACGTTCCCATATGACAATCGAACTGACGTTTTCTGTTTGTAATGCCTAGAAGCTTTAGCGCTACGATACAGATGTCTGCAGTATGAGCGTTAGGGTTGTAGGCCCTTTAAATAGAGCACGTCCTTTATCGATCCCCTACTTTGTAAAACTCGGTCAATGGTAATAGTGTGCAATACAAATTGTTTCCTTTGTGTGGCATAATTAATATACACTGTCATCCAGCACAGACAATCTTACGAACTCGTTATTGCAGGTCGTGCTGTTTCTTCTTTCGGTAAGGCTCTGGCCACACTGCTGGCGAGGCGGACCGGGCGAAGCGATGAAATTTAATACAAAGGCGAAAAACTAAGAGCGACGCTATTTGAGGCCAATCCAATGGCGGTTTATTTATTGTCGATTGCAAAAGCTTGAGATTTATTTATGTCTGCACGCACGTTGTTGTTGAGTATCAATAAAAGAAATTAAAGATAATAATCAGAGAGAGAGAGAGAGAGAGAGAGA